CCCACTTTCAACGACACTTCGCGGTGTTCACCAAATTGTACTTCTTTCGGGTAATCACCCAGCTGTGTGGTGATTGGATTCGTCGTCAATATGAGATTCGAAGCAAATGAGATATAGCTGAAAATAAAAAGATAAACAATTATTACAACTTGAAAAAGTGCGAAAAGTGGTACCCAGTTCATCCATTTCGACGGAGTTCCAAGGAAAGCAAATATTTAAGAAAGATTGCTTTCAATATACTCACTTTTTATTAATAGATTCAGGAGTTTCGGCCTTTACCACATATGTGGATAGACCTAACGGCGGCACTTTAGCCTTAAATATCAAACGGTATTTTGTGGTAGATGCCTGAGGTGTTATGGTATTTGAGAAAGTGTCCTTATGCCATGTCCAAACGGGCGAAATTTGAATTTCAACTGGATTATTATTGGAATCCGCTACACTGACAAATGGGGAAGCTACATGGAAATCAATAATTTCCTCTCGCCATTGTGGCAATGAATTGTGCAGGACTAAATGTTTCTGTGGCAATTCTTCACCCAAAATGATGGTGGTCCGACTATCATCAGGTCCTGGCCAACGGGAGTCGTCCATATGGAAATAATTAAAATTAGTATCGGCATTATAAATCTGAAAGAATTCAAACATTTTAGGAACAACTTCTAAGCCATTATAAGCATGTTCATACCGATTTCTTTGTCAGCAGTTTATACACAGATTGTTGCATTATAAATTTACAAATTTTTACAGCATTCAACATACGTTGAGCATAGTCCTCTACAACGTGAGTTTTAGCAGTTCCTGTTATGCCATCATGATGTTGAAACAATGACAATTGCCGCCTGGCATCCTGTAGCATGTCATCGAATTTGACACCATCATCCCATTTATGCCAAGCACTAAGCATTTCTGCACTACGTATGTAATGGGTCAAAACTCTATCCATACGTTTATGATATGGACGTGAGGTAAAGTAACCACTCCAATAATTATCTGAACGATCGGCATAGGTAAAGAAATCTCCACTTAGCGTGGGAAAACTTCGTTGTTTTTGCCTTTGCTCCTCATGTACGGCGTCAAAGTACTCCTGCAGTGTTCCAAATTTAGCCTCAACGAAATATTTACGTTCTGAGTTAATGTGGGTAAACAAATTTTCATAGTTCATGCGTTGAACTTCCCATTCGGTGCTTTGGCTGTAGCGAAAATCATCGCCCAGGGGAAATAGTAAGACATTTGTGCGATATAATTCTGCTTTCTTCTTCCATTGGTCCACAAGAAGTTCAGCTCTAAGAAAGATTTAGTTATGTTTATTGGATATATTTGTATATTTGTCTGTTTCTTTACCTTTCTGCCACATTATGATCGACAATATTTTTTGGGGGCACTCGCCATGGACAACTTAGACCAAAACCCGGTACACGCTTAAAATCAAATTGACAGCAAATTTTTGGATCCGGACCACAAGAATGCGGTATGTCATAAGAGTAGAATGGCATCATGTGGGTAAAAAGTTCAGTTTCACCAGAATCATCTAAATAAAATCAGCGAATTAAAAAGAAATAAATATATGTTCTGATTTAAATAAACTTACCCCACAATTGTCGCCAATAGAATTCCAAGTTACGTTTCAAAGCCAACTCTTTTTTAACCGAATAATGTGTGCGTTGTATTAATGCATTTTCAAATCCAGACTTTTTCAAGATATAAGGCATTGAGGGACTATGGCCAAATGGATCAATTGCCCAAGATGATATGGGTGTAACATTTAGAAATTTCTTAAGCCAATGTTGGCCCTCCGTCAACTGAAGTAACATATTGTGCCAATGTGCATTGGCCTCGTCTGGCATAACCCATCCCCCGGAGACAAATTCCAATTGACCGTTCTGGACCAATCTAAAAGGGAAAAATGTAATTAGTTTAATTAATTAGAAAGAGGAAAATTATTTTCTTGACCGCCAGGGGATGGATATAGGTACATACTTTTTGACCTCCATCTTATTGTTTTCACCCAGATCCTCATAAAAACGCGAAAAATATGATATTTCTGCCCAAATAAATTTCATGTCAGGATTTTCACGTAAATGCCTTAGAGCATTTGAAAGAATATGTTTCGTCTCATGGTCATAGTAATCATCAAATGTCTTAATCCAGCCCGGGTCATTATGTGAATGGGGCACAACAAAAACCTTTAATTTGTGATGGTCGTTGTACTGCATGGGATCATATTTAATATTCCATCCCTGCTTCCATACGCCACCATCAATGTCTTCAAAAGACATTTTTCCATACATATCTAACATTTGTATATCAGGCTGTGGCACTTGCTGAGGATCAAATTCACACGTTTCATCTCGTGCTACCAAATTTTCTTCCAAATTATTTTTCTCCTTGATGACATTTTCAGACTCCTTCGCAAAAGTCTCTGACTTTTTGCCTCCACTTTCACCGAGTTTGTTTATGTTATTTTCCGACTGTCTCGACGTGTCATCTTGACCGGCGTTCCTATTTTTCGGGCCATATTCAATGCCCATGTCAGGTTTTTGCAGGACTTGTTTGTTGTATTCATGTTGGGCTTCCAAAGCCATAAAATTTGGCTTTTTGTCCTCCTGTGGAGCCGCATAATTAATCATAAAGTATACAGTCAGAAATATTGCCACAGATATGCCACATAGCATAATAGCAAAGCGACGACGTACTCTTATCATTGTTGTTTATTTGTCGATAGCAATTACAACATTTCACTATTTTTATGATACTAAAGAAACCAATTCAATTGAAATGCCGAGCCGATACCATCTAATCTATTTCATTTTCCAATTTTCTCGTTCCGGAACGAACTGCTTTAATGTACAAATTCACTGAAATGAACTGCGGGTCAAATATTGAGTTACTTTGCAGCGTTACCTAAAATTCGACGTAGCGTATGCAAATATTCAACTTCCCACGGTGGTAAAATGTTTTGTACGACCGTACTACCCAAATACACAAGGTCCATATTTTAAAATCTAAAAACTGTTAAAGTTGTAAAAACTGTTAATTTTTAAAATTCTTCAATTATTTTATTTTCAAATCACAAACATTCACATTTTTTGTATACGGTACGTCGAATCTTAGGTAATGCTATCAAAGTACGTAAGTACTTTTATAGTTCCATCATGTGAATACTTCGTTCTTGAACGAAAGCTAATAGCCTGAATTTTTGGTTTATTGTATAATTTCCACCAACCAAATCTTTTTTGATATATTTGTTAAATAAAATGAAAGTACAAAGAATATTGACTTGGTGTGGTAGTGGTAGAAGTATAAGGACATTATCTTCACAAGCGAACACCTACAGCACAGTAGCCGCACCAAATACAAATGCCAAAACGTTAGAACGGAAAACATTCATTGAGCGTGTTTCATCAGGACCGGGATTGCAGGAATTTTTCAATGTCAAAGCAGTTTCAAAGCTAAAGCTACAAGAAGTACCTGAAGAAAATATTATACCATATCTACCAATTGAGAGTTATAGTGGCAATGGACGCAAAGTATTCTTCGAAGTTTATGGCTGTCAAATGAATACAAACGACACTGAAGTTGTTTTGACGATATTGGAATCAAATGGCTACAACAAATGCAGCGACATTAAGGATGCAGATGTAATAATGATTGTCACGTGTGCAGTAAGAGAAGGAGCTGAAACAAAAATATGGAATCGCTTAAATCACTTAAAATCCATGAAGGAAAAACGATCGTCGAAAAAAGGGCCGCTGCAAATTACAGTACTGGGTTGTATGGCAGAACGTTTAAAACAACAGCTATTGGAAAAGGAGAAAAGTGTGGATGTAGTAGCTGGTCCAGATAGTTATAAAGATCTTCCCCGTTTACTAGCCATATCCAGACATTACCAGCAATCAGCCATCAATGTATTGTTGAGCTTAGATGAGACATATGCAGATGTAATGCCTGTAAGATTGAATACGGACTCACCTACGGCATTTGTTTCTATTATGCGAGGCTGTGATAATATGTGCACATATTGTATTGTACCCTTCACCAGAGGTAGGGAACGATCGAGAGCAATTGAGTCAATAAAACAAGAGGTCTTGTCATTAAGGGATAATGGCATTAAAGAGGTCACCCTTCTGGGTCAAAATGTTAATAGCTATAGAGATACATCCAAGGAAGTAGCATCCGATGTATCCACTGCCCCCGGTTTTAAGACCGTATATAAACCCAAAAAGGGAGGACTGCCGTTTTCGGCCTTACTTCAAGAAATAGCTGAAGCTGTTCCAGACGTGCGTATACGTTTTACATCGCCACATCCCAAAGATTTTTCTGAAGATGTTTTAAGAATTATACGAGATTACCCAAACGTATGTAAAAATCTCCACCTTCCCGCGCAATCCGGTTCCAATAGTGTTTTGGAACGCATGCGTAGAGGCTATACAAGAGAGGCATATTTACAGCTAGTCGATACCATACGATCATATATTCCCCATGTTGGGCTTTCCAGTGATTTCATATGTGGTTTTTGCGGAGAAACTGAAGATGAATTTCAAGATACTGTAACGCTAATAGAAAAAGTACGCTACAATGTTGCGTTTTTGTTTGCATACAGCATGAGAGAAAAAACCACCGCCCATCGTAGATATAAAGATGATGTCCCGGCGGATGTAAAAACCAACCGTCTGCAAAGAATGGTAAAAGCTTTCCGACAGGGTGCTACAGCATTACACAAACAGTATGAAGGACGAAAAGAACTTATTCTAATAGAAGGTATAAGTAAGAGATCGGAAGACTTTGTTTTTGGTAGAAATGATGCAAACATCAAAGTAATAGTTCCAATAAAAGAATTATCCTTAGGGCCGGTCCATGGTACCGAAAGACGAAAAATAACAATTGGCGATTATGTAGTAGCTCACATAAATGAATCGAATTCACAAGTTTTGAAAGGAGAGCCTTTATACCTTAGTTCTATATTAGAATATCATGCTAAAGTGTAAATATAATTAAATTGTTGTTTTTGTTTTAGAATATAAGAAATATATTTTTATTTTCAATTCTAATCTTCCATTGCCTCTTCGCCTTCTTTTGGCGACGTCGGTGTAGGATTTGTTTTGGTGTGGAATTTAGTCATTATTTTTCTATAGAAATCAAATATAACTCCACTGGCTGCACGACACATAAGGTAGGCATCATTAAATTGTGCCATTTTAAAACATCCGGTGCTATTGACTGTTACAAGATCTCGTTCCAAGGAATCGAAAACAAATGTGAAATTGGCACGGCTATCGTTTATCTGTCCATAATCTGGATCCAATATTAACTCTCCATTTTTATCGACAATACAGCAAACTGCAGCCACAGTAAATTTCATGGGTATGCCGCCTATCAGCAGAGCCATACATGCGGCATTAATTGCGCAGGCATCCAACTAAATAATAAAAAAAACTATTAGTCTTAGTATTAGTATGGGTTCAATTGGTATGACTTACGCCTCCTCTGTCGTCTAGCTCTTGTACTTGGACTGATACCATTGTCCGGGGATGCATGGCTGATAGCAAAGCCGCTTCGCATGTATCTTTAATAACAGTTTCACGCATTCTATCCCTAATCGTGGGTAAACCGGCCTTTGGCCTATAAATGCACTCGACATAGGCTTTGTCAATATTTAAATTTTGTAATTTTACTTCCACGGGTCCCAATATCGAAGCCATTACACATGTTCCACCCTGAGCAAAGAGAGCTGATCCATCTGTGCGTGTCAGAGGATTTAGTTCACAGTTTAAAGAACGTATTTTAACATCACGATTTGTATTTGCATCGTTATGTCCTTTTGTATCATTAGTAACCATTATTACAAAGATATCAGCTATTCTTTCGATTTTTATGAAATATTTACGTTTTTTTAAAAATGTGGCTTATGAATGTTTCTTCTTATTATGTTTACGAATTTCATCGTGAATTGATATCAGAACCCAAATGACGATAATAAAAGATGGAATTAGTTCATAGCTTTCTCAGAGTGAATTACTGCATCAAACTATTTCGGAACGAGAATGCTTCCTCTTATTATGTTTACGAATTTCATCATGAATTAATATCACAACCCGAATGACGATAATAAACAATGGGTACTAGTTCATAGGCTCCTCAGAGTGAATTGTTGCATCAAACTATTTCGGGAAGAAAAAAAAAAACAAAAATAAAATACAACTGCATCTCATTTTGCATAAACAATGACCGATTTAGACCCTTGGAAGGTCCAGGTCCAACATCCAGAACATTCTAACTCTGCCACCAACGGAAAAGTAACAGACGAAATCAACAATTCTACGGAAACAACAAACTCAGCTTTGGGATTTGAGGATAGTTTTATTGGAGCTGAAAATAATAATTGCAGCAGTGATAAGAAGAGACCAGAAAACACAAATAAATCGAATAATAAACCTGAACACCAACCGCTGCCAGATTCTCAAACCTATTTGAAAGGATTGGGTAAGTTTTCAGGAAAGATTTGTAGGTATATTTTATTTTTATTTTTTATAGATGGGTCATCATAGATCACCTTGAACTTTAATCCAGGCTTAACTTAGAGGATTATTAAGCAGTGAAATAAATTTATACCATCATGTAGTAAAACATGAAATTTGGCACGATGATCACCATACATTTATGATTTATTCCTAATTTTATTACTACTCCTTTTTTCTCTACATTTATCTTCATTACTTTCTTATATTTATTTTTATTTTTCTAGAACGAAAATTGGACAAATTAAAAAAGAATTCAAAACTTGTTGAAGCTTTGTCGGAAAAACGTAGCGATTGTTTACGATCCCTAATTCAAGGTGATTTGTCTGGAAGCAATTCAAACAATGATTTGCTCCTGGAATTAGAAGCAAGCATTAATTCCGATTCTGCAGTACATAATTTATATCGTCAAATACAACCAGTTCAGGCTGTAACTGTCGGTGAAACTGTACATATTGTTAAGTACGATCAATTAGAGGAACAGCGTTTGGAGGCTGACGCCGAAGAAAACGGAGAATTACCAGCAAGTCGATAGAAATATACATTACTCGCCTCCTCAGCCATCTGCAGCAGCACAATGAATTCATCGTTTGGTGAAATATTTATGTTTCTAACCAACTTAGCTTGGAAAAGTCGTATGACAATTCCAGTTTTGGTGACAACAGCTTTTTTAATTATGGACATAAGATTGCAAATTGAAATTAACTTCCAGTCTGGTCAAGTGGTAGGTAACATTGTAACAAAACCACCGAAAATGTGCATAAAATCAAAGTATATTTATTAATAATTATCATTTAAAGGCGGCTGCGGAATTTGATGCTGATGACGATGATTATTTGGATGATGATGATGACGATGCATACGAAGAGTACACAACAGACTCTGATACGAATGATGACGATGTTGATAGCGACAATTAGTTATATATGGCTGCGCATAACTTCCAAAAATTAATTTATCTTTTTTGTGTTTCACATAGCGTTAATAATACAAAATACCTTTATTTGTAGATCAACTTTTTTTATTTTATAAAATGTAATAAAGGCGGGACTAAGCTTACATATACAGTTTTATTAACTCATCACTTACAGCAGATGGAGTCAAAATGCCCAAATCGGTAAAGAGCAATGTGATATAAGCTGGAGGCGTATAGTCAACCAGGGGATGGACCTTTGAAACATCGCTCAAATGTTTGCGAGAATACTGTGAAAATATTGCTTGTTATTATTTTTATAAAAACATCTATAACAATTTCCCTTACCTTATATTCATCTGGCAAATCTCTTTGATTTAGTGGATATAATCTAGTGAACTTGAAACTTTCCGCTAGCACATAGAATGGTTTTCTTCATTTCTTGGGCACAAAGGCCCATGGTAAAGCTACCAATGCGATTAATGATACCACCCGACTCTACCACTGCTTCGGCTCCCACCATTACAAAGTCACTGATTCCATAACATAACCGGTGGCTGAGTCTAAAATTAGGGTACAATCTATGCCAGCGCGTTCCAAATCCGCTATCATTTGTTCCCTAAGGAAATAACAATTATTAAATTATTGTTTGTTCAATATATTTACAAACCTACCCTGAATTGTCTGGGCCTCCTTGGGTAACAAAAACATGAAATTGCTTGTTAGCTTTGGCAGCCGTTACCAAAGCCTTCAAGACAACGCGAGATCTTGAATGTGTCAATACACGACAGCCATCAGTTATAAATCTTTGAGCTTGTTGAGCAATAACGTTACGAGAATTTAAAAGTTTGGCTAAAAAATATTTTCCCACGATGCAACATAATTTCACGACATTT